TAAGCTATGAGTATTTTTTTTCTTTTGTTTATAAATATGATTTTATTCGAATAGATGTTTTATGCAAGCAATTCGTCTTAACTCACGTTCAGCAGTATATTGGTCATGTCTTGCCCAATGTGTTTATATTCAAGCTCGTTATAATTCAGATGATCAACGTTTGCTTATGATGGCATTGGAATATATGAAAGTCGCAATTTCATTAAAACCTAATGATCATTTATTATGGAATGCACTTGGAGTCGTTGCAGCACATCCAGGTAAATCAGAAGTTTTATAGATAGAAGAAAGTATATTGATTACTTTATAATCTGGTTCGATTGTAATACATTCTATAGACAGCCTCTGTGGCTATAATATCTTTATCGAAAGTTTTTTCTGAGCATATCTAGAATTTTCAAAAAATCGATTTAATTTTCGTTAGTGACATGCCAGAGTACAAATATACAAATGAAAAAATGCTTTCATAACCAAATGAGAAGTTCAAAACCAATTTCAAACAATACAAATCCTTTTTTAAAATCTTTCGCTGATGATAAGATAAAAATTATTGCGTTGAAACTTGATAGTCTCTAGAAAATCAGTTTTTCAGAGGAAGATTTTTTTAAGAACAATCTCGCTGAAAATTTGACCATCAATGTGATACGCGGCGTAGAGTCTATCCAGAAGTTCTCGAGTTATTTTTTTTTTGGAGTTAGGGAGATATTCAATAATTAGTTTTTGATTAATAGTCTGCTGAAAGAGCCAACATTTTAACATATGTTTATACTAAAAGAATTTATAAAGAAAAATAACCCTTGTAAAGAATCAAAGTTAGATGAAATGTAGGTAAGTTCCATTTTTGTCTGAAACGGCCCATGTATTCGTATATAAAAGCTAGTTCTATTTGATTTCGTATGTTACAAATCTCATAGTCGTACCAGTCATGGATCCGTTTAGTTTTTGATACAATCAAATTATCATGAAGTCAGGTAGGGAAAATGAATATTCACTAAGCAGATCTTTTCTATGAATTTTTCATGAATTATATCTTGGTCTGTGAAAGCTCGAATCTGTTGAGTTAAAAATTTTTAGAATCCGAATCGTACTCTTAATTTCAACAAAAATATCTTAGTCTAAACCTGATAATTGCTTCGACGGTACGAAATAATTTGTGTATAGTATTTGTATTGTACAACGACTAACTTACTCTAAACATTTCTCAGACAATCTTGTCGATGAAATCCTATAATAATCAGGGCATACTTGGCTATTTCTCTTAGAATATGACTCTATCGGGCTGGTCTTGCACCCGAAAGGTTATTAGTGAATGGTTATAAACAGACTGCTTTATCTTCGATCGAACTGATACACTCTCTAAGGCATAAATGTATAGTGCATCTTAAATTAGTTTTTTTTTTAAAGTGTACCAACCTTATTTTTGTAGAACTTAATAGAAGAAAAGAAACAAAAATAATTTAAATATATTTTTTAGCTTTGAATGAATCTGGTTTTGCTCAACATTGTTTTTTTAAATCTCTTCAATTACAACGATCAGCTATAGTATATACAAACCTTGGTTTTCTCTATTATCGCCATGAAAATATACAATTAGCAAATAATGCATTTTCCAAAGCTCAACAAACTGATCCAATGTATTCATTAGCTTGGATTGGACAAGTATCAAAAGTTCTCTTTTTTATTTGTTCTAAATTAAATAAAAATATTTCAGGCACTCATAGCTGAAAAAATTGATTATAATGAATCTATTGATCTCTATCGTCATTGTGTTGATCTTTCCAATCACGTAAAGAACAAGAAAATAATATGTTTTCAATGCACAAAAAATTTTTCTTTTTAGTCTCAAGGTTTATATGGTTATGGAAAAGTAATTGCACATCTTCTTATAAAACCAACTAATAAATCAAGCGATATTTATCGATATTCAATTGATTATTTAAACGGTAATCAACGAGCAGCCGATGCATTGACGAAATATATTCGTAAGTTCGTTTTTTCTTATTTTACATTACCATATTTAAGATTATTTATAGAACGAAATCCAAAAGATGTAAATGCTCTACAATGTTTGGGCATTATTCATGAATTTAATCAACGTTTTACTCAAGCGGCAAATGCTTATCAACTGTAATTAAAAAATTCTAATTTTGTTTTTGCGAAACACGCTCTAAAAAGAATGCTAAAGTACATAGATTAGAAATTTGAACTCCCCTCGTACGCAGATCCTGACATATATCTTGACTACTAGAGCTCATATGATACAAAATATTACGGTTTGAAGCCATGACCTAACCGACAGGCTCTACTAGCGACATATTACAGACTGTGACAGATATCTTGGCAATATTCCTGTTATAGGTGCGAATAACAGCTATATTGTGTTTTTTTCATTTTAATCTTATAGGGATTACGCTAACATTTCTTTTATTTAGCTCATTAACTCATATGAATCAACAAAGTGAAGTATCAAAAATGATACGAAATGATTATGCACGTGTTAAATGGTATGAAACAAAGATAAAATTATTAGATCATTGTTTTTGTTTTTTGTTTGTTAGTCGAAGTGGGGATGTACAATTAGACGCATTTATTTTACAAGATAATAAAATAACACTACTTGATGTTCTTTGGTTAGCAATAGCTTATGGAAAAATGAATAAACAAACAGATGCTATTGAAAGTTTGTTTTAAATGATTGAACAATAATTTTCCAAAAATTGATTTTTTTTTCTTAAAATCTAGTTTTAAAACGTGTTATTGATGATTCCACAACATCAAATAAAGATCGTTCAATTTTATTAACTTTTCTTGGGCTTTATCAACGTAAAATTGATCCACAAACTGCAGTCAAAAACCTTTTTAAAAGGTTTGTGTCTTATTTTATTAGATTAAAAATTTTAAAAAAATTATTTTGTTTTTAGCTATTCAACAAAACCTGTTTGTTCAAGTGCAGTAACTTCACTTTGTGCAATGGGAATGATTATATCAGATAATCGAATAACAACAGCAGCTTTAAAAGAAATGCCAAAATTAACTGATTCGAATTATACAATGGATATACATTTATTAACATGTTTATCCATGTTTCTGACTGTAAGTTATTTATATTTAAGTATTATTTTTTCTATATGACTAATTTAGAATAAAACTCGTGAAGTATATACTTATACAATGAATGCTGTCCATAATTATCCATGGTTAACATGGACATGGATATTAACTTTAATTGCACGTGTTCAATTAGGGAATTCATCAGGCGTATTACAAATTATTGAAGGAATTTGTCATTCAAGTTTTTCGACAATCGATGAGGTCTAGTAAATATTATTTTCAAAGTAATTATTGTTTGTTTTCTTTTTTACTTGTAAAGAACATGGCAATTCTTGTTGCTAAAGTATTTCATCATATATCACATGAACACAATGAATATATTTTACATCTATTTCAAATGTTGATCATGCATCGTCCAGGTATTTTTCTTTTTCAGAATTGATCATGATTTATTATCATTCTATGAGTCAAAAATCGATTCAAGTTTGGATCGGTTCATTTTCGAGCTCTTCTTTTGGCAGTTCGCCTTTCTTCAGTTTTTCTGAAAAAAAAAACAAATGGGCTACTTTCTCATGCTAGCAAATAGTTAGATTGACTGAAATTGAACTTTAATATGAAAACTTAACGCTCAATGACGAATTTTCGACAATATGTTAAAGATTCAATTTCATCAAACTATAGAATTCTTTAACGTATTCATGTTAATGAAGTCTTCAATTTAAATGACTTTGTTGCTTATTACTTTTCTCTAGTGATAGTTACAGCAATATAGACTTGATAGATGGTGAGATGCGATGAGCATGTCAAGATGACCAATCACAGTCAATCAGACAAACTATGCGAATGTTTCTTATCATGTTCAGCCAATTGAGAGAAAGACTAGTCATAAAGGTTCAGTATAAAACAAACGAAATGCATAAACAAGACGCTGTTGTTTTCTGATCATAAAAGTTTTACACAGCGAAACTAAGAGACATTACTAGCTAGAATTTGTTAACTCTTCGGATTTTATTCGTATCAGTATATATTCACATGCTGCTAAACACTTTTTCAAACTTTAATATCACATCTGAGATCAACGATTTGATATAAACTACATCGAAAAATTTTGAGTGCAGATTTTTGTACTAACTATGTAGTGAATTAACTCGAATAAGTACCTCTTTAAGACCAATGCTGCTGATATACATGCGATACTTCAAAGATTACGCAGATTTTGCTTAGTCTCTAGAAATTCTATGTGACAGTATTGCAAAAGTCCCGAACATAGTCTTATGTTTTCAAAAACATATCGATCAAATAGAAGAATAAACTGAAATATAAGGTTTATAGGATGAATCTTACTTGAAATAAAAACAAAATCCAATCAGCTAAAGGAAAACTAGATGTTAATTGACGATTATTTCATTGAAAGGTCATCGTTTATGAATTTAAGACTGCTACGAACAGACATAAATCATACGCACCTTATTCAAAACAATTCAAATTATTATTTTTTTTCTTCATAAAATAATTTTTTTGTTTTTCTTTAGCTTTACTCGATCTACGCGTTTCATTAGCACAATATATTCAATCTTTTGATCAATCATTTGGTCAATCTTTACTCCCTAAAACTACTTCTCTGTGATTGTTTTTTTTTTTTTAATTTCTGTGTAAATAAACGTTTTAAGTCCGTAAAATTGAAATAGATATATATATATATGTATAGATGGAATGACAAGTTGGTTCTTTAATCAAATACAAACACACATAACGAAATCGAACAAACAACATAAACACAAACGAACACAAAATATATAGATAAATAATAATAAAATATAGTTCAAGTTGCACATGGAATTTATAAGTTGTTCAGATAAATAAGAACGAAGGAGAAGACAAAAAAAAAAAGAAAAAGAAATTAAAATGCCATTAAATGAAGACAAAAAAAAAGGGAACATTGAAATAGTTTAATCAACTTTTAATCTTGGTGTTGTCATACGATAAATAATTGTATCCGCTCCTGGATCTAATGTTAAGAATACATAAGCTATACTTATAACAATTAATGCTAAAACCAATGATGTCCAAAAAAATAAATTAAACATTACTGGATACTCATCTGAATACATTTCAGCAATTGTTATATTTGCACTCTAATTATATTTTATAATATTTTTTTAAAAATTATAAACAAAAAAAAACTTAATTTAAAGCTTACTGCAGTTTCAACTTGTCGTGCTCGACGTACGCGTGCACTTTCTTTTGTTATTAATGTCATAGCTAATGTTTGAGGATCATTTGAAATAATCTATTTATATTTTAATTCAAATAAATCCTTGTTATCTTTTTTTTTATTCAATAGACTTACTTTATCAATCTTTGTTTTTAATTGATTTTGTATTTGTTGAGCTGCATTATCATCTTTACAATCATCACAAACAATGACAATATAGTTAACTGTTGCCTATGAAAAAAAAAAATAATAAAATTTGTTTTAATAGAATTTTAATAGTTTATTTACTTGTTGATCGATTCGTGAGAGTTGATCTTTAAGTGCTTGTTCAAAATTATTCAAATCTGATTTTGAACTCTGAAAAATATTAATTATAAACCTCAATAATGGGTAATCGGAAATTTTTTTAGACAGGATATGTCTTTACTTGTGATCCATAAGAAACTATTTCTCATGAGTAAGGACGAAAATTTCGTACTCTTTTCGAATATAAGCTTAAAAATTTTGTCTCAGTTTTTGTTTGTTGTTGAAAAATCCAATGAATAAGTTTAAAAGAAAAATGTTTGTATTTTCACTATTGCGATTCGAAACTAAAATTGAAGATTCTTATTTATATATTACTTTATAGATAAGAAGATACTCTACAAAATGACCTATTTGAAGTTTCTTTTGCCTTTCGATAAAATACCTCAGTTTTCGTTTTTTCCGAAATTCTCATTTTTTCAAAAATCAACAACTGTTTTACATTAAAAGTTAGTTGCATATCACATTTTGTCGAGAAGTGTTCACTTTAAAAACTGACTAACCCGGATAATTTTTAGCATGTTTGAAAAACGATGTCTAGAATAAACAAAACTTCGTTGGCTCACCATTAAAATTAATTTTTTAGATCCTTCAAAAAGTCTCTCACTACTCTTGAACAAAAATAGACACTAAATTCTAGTCGTGATCTATAGTTTTGGCTCTTTTGTGAAATGTTTTCAAGCTTTCTCAAATGAACAAACATATTCATCGAAAAAGCCAGCGCACAAGTTTCGTCCAAACTAAATTTTTGAGTTTGTCAATAGGGTGCTGCGTGTCCGCTCGGACCCGGGCCCGGCTCCAGAATTTAAATTTTTGTTGAGTCAGGGTTCACAACAAGGTGGACCCACAGCTCTCTACTTGTCAAAGATTATTTCACTACTCTTGGGCAAAATTTTTAAGTTCATATTGAAAAGAGCTTCCTAATTCATAGCTTTTGATTCGTTGGAAATACTTTCTAACAGATGCAAAAGTAAAGAAACATCTTGCCTAAAAACTTTCCGATCATCTTTTATAAGCATAATAAATACGTACGATTATAACTGATCCCATACTTAAAGCATCAGCATTACCAGTTTGACTTAACTTTGAATGAATCGAATCAATATCAAATTCGCCGTTCTAAAATATTTGCAAAATCTATCATGAAGTATATAGATAATTCGTGTTTAACATACGTCGTCTAATGAAATACCAGTATTAGATAATCGATCAAGACCTTCAATATGAAATAACCATGTTGATGATGGAATTTCAAGTGGACGTGTTGAATAAAACATAGGTTGTTCTGGTTTTTCAGTCTATTTTATTTAATTAAATAAACATATTCATTTTTTCTTTGTTGTAAAAAATTTTATCTACTTGATCGGGTGATAAACCTAAAATTGTTGCTAAATTATTTGCAAAAGTTGATACTGTCAATCGATTTGAATTTTCATCATTCTCGTTAGAAGCTAATGATAAATAATCTGGTCGATTATGTACTTGACATTGACCAGCTTCAGTAAAATCTAAATAGAATAGAATTATCATGAAAGATAAAAGGATTATTGATTTTTACTTACAGATCAACGATGAAATGAGAATGGTTGTTAGAAAAAAATTCATTTCTTCAAATAAAAGAAAGAACTAATGTTTACTCAAGCGAAACAAAATGAAAGTAGAAATGAAAATGCAAACACCTTTAATATGAAAAACAGAAAAAGAAAACAGATCTGTTGATAAAAAACTTGTCTCATTTCTCATCTATTTTCAGTTGTTTTATTGACAAATAATAAGAAAGATTCGATAGAGGTCACCCTCTTTCGAATAAGTACATATTTTACAATTTAAAAATTATTTTTCTTGAGATCCTTCTCTTAGAGTCAATTGTTTTAGACTTTGTATTCGATTTGTTTCCATTGAATTCATGTTAATTTGATTACACTTTATCTGAATTCGAAATAAACGTTTAAATAAAAGTACTGCTTGCTGTCGAAATATACTTGATGAATAATAATATAAATAAAAATTGAATGCTAATGATGCATAAGCTGGTAATCGTAAAAGATTAAATACAAATACAACTTTATCATTATGATCATTTTTAGCATTATTCTTTGAAATATATGGATAAATAACAATTGTTATTGATACGGGAAAATTACAAATTATCAATGATATTGAACTAATTAAAAGAAATCTAATTATTGAACGATCAAGATTACGAAGACCAAATTTTAAATGTCGTTTATATTGATATTTTATAATAAATATATTACAAGACGTAACAATAATAAAAGGTAGTAAAACAAATGTTGTTAAATCAATCCATGGCCAAACATTTTCAAAAAATTTTACATATGTTGGATAATCTGGATTTGGATCACAATTATCAGCAGCATTATCTGTAAAATCTCCAATAAAAACTGTTGCTAAATGAATATTTTTTAAAATAAGAATAGTCGTTAATATGCATGCAATAATTACGGTCAATTTTTTTGTACAATATATTCGTGCGTGAATAGGAAATTTTACTTTAACATAACGATCAACTGATATAGCTACTATCATCCATGAAACCATATCTATAGATGTATACGCAAGAAAATTACGAGCACGACAATAAGTAGCATTAGGTATTGAAATATGATAACCAAGTATTAAACAATGATGAAGACCACCAAGCAATCCGATTGAATCGTATATAGCAAGTAAAAGAAAATAGATACCACATGACGTTTGACTTAATTCAGTAATAGAAAAAATTAATGATGAAAGTAGATTACCAATGATACCAATAATAAAAATAATAGGATAAATAATCATGTAGATATAACGAATTATTTCTTCGTATTCATTCGGAATTGGTAATGTCATTGTAGAGTTTGATTTGAGATTGTCAATACATGTCATATTCATTTTATTTTTCAGGTTAGATTTTTAGTTGTAAATGTTTTCAAAAAAAAACATGTAAAGCATGTGAATGAAAACAAATGTTAGAAAGCGTAATCACGATCATAAGTCAAAAATACTAGAAATAAATATTGATTGTCACTGAAATATTTGTGTGTGATAAGACTATCACTTATGACGTGATATTGATGTATCAGAAGTGTAAATCAATAAGCACCTGATACGATGCATCTTTACTTGATAAAATACTGTTTTACTATATTTCTCAAATATTTGTTGAAAAATTATTAAAAGTGTTTCATATATTTTATCTTAAAATCTTAATACAATGTGCTTTGTACTCAGAGTTTGTCAAGATATTACCCATTATTAGGACAATTTAATACAGTTTCTTTTTCCCATTTGATTGTTGTGAAGATAAACGTTTGTAACTTCTTACTCATTTTAAGGAACTCACGTATATTTTCTAACAAAATCGTAAGTGTAAATATTAAGTCGAAGATTTGCGCATTCTTCGTGGTCCTCGTCATAAACTTTAGCTTCCAAAGAAATCAAATGTCACACTCTTCTTTTAAATTTCTTTAGCAACAGAAAAAGATACTCAACAGCATTAACAATATGACTTAGACTGTTGTAGAACATTCTAAAACCTTTCTGGAAATTTGAATTGCTGGATAAAGTTTCGGGGTATTCTAAAGAGTGCATTTTTTTAAAATTTTTGTACATTCAACATGTCAAGAATCATGAATAGTAATGCATTTATTTGTCCTAGTCATCATATGATCATCATGAAACAATGTAAACTAATCAACTTACAACTTTCGTAAATAATCAATATCAGCATTTATGAGCTTATCCAGATAAATAGTAAATCTGGCATAAATATAAGGAATATGTATAGCAGACTTAGTTACTATTTAAAGCAATGGTTAGAATAATCATAATAATAATGTTAAATTATAAAAAATCGAAAAACGAAAAAGTAAAATAATGCTCGAATAGCAACAAGGGAAAGCCCAATTTTCTGTTTGGAATCCAGAAATAAATAAGAAAAGATCCCATGTCTACCGATTGATGATCTTGGAGAATAACTATAGTTAACGAGAATTTCTTCCTTTTGCGTATTTTATATTAGTATATTTAGGCTAAAGAACACATATGAATTTCATATTTCAATCCTAAGGGGCCTGCACTAACAAACTATTTTAATCATTCTTATAAAGTTTTACGATATTTTCTAGATTGATCTTCGTTGAATCTCTAAGGAGAATGTCCTCCCTTTACTAAATTATGTATATTACGAATCTTTTTTTTTCTTAATGACAAGTTACATACATAATTTATAATGTTGATATTTATGAGAACGTTTCAACTCGTCACGTGACGAGTTGAACAAAAAGCAAAAATCAGACCTTTCGTAACACCAAAAATAGGGATATCCAAAAATACAGGGATTTCGTAACGAAATTTACAGGGCGATCGTAACGATTAATACAGGGAGTTCGTAACAGTTGCAGAGCTTTCGCAACGAACCAACAGGGATTTCGTAATGAGGATGAGGGTGATAGCTGGACTTAGTTTGCAGAAATTACATGCTTTTCGTTACGAAAGCTCTGTAATGATACATATTAAAACACCAATTACGATCACCCTGTAAAATTTGTTACGAAACCCATGATTTTTTGTTACGAAAGCCCTGATTCTGTCGTTACGAAAGCTCTCTCACGGGCTTTCGTACTGTCAATTCGTTACGAAAGTCAGACAAGAAAAAACGTGACGAGTTGAAACATTCCCATATTTATCTACATTGAGTTATTCTTTTAATACAGTTTTTCAGATAGCTGCTGAAATTCTCGGATTATTGTTTTCATAAATAAAAAAAAATTTATGTATAACGTTTAAAAAATGATTTTATTCAATATTATTTTGATGCAAACATAAAACATCCACCAACATTTGCACAATGACAACTTATTTCATTTATGGTTACATAGCCTAAGGTAAAAACAAAAAAAAGGCAATGGACAATATTTTTTTGTTTTGTCAATTAGATTAAGATTTTTCTTTTTGTTTCATTCTCTTTGATACACATGACAATACATCAAATACTATTTGTTATATTGTTGACACACAACAATTAGTTACTATTTCTTAACTGTGAACATAAACATATAAATTGACATAAGTTTCTATGCAATTTAAACATACATACACAACCAAAAACAAAGACAAACATGGTAATTAGTTCAACTTTAACAGCTCAACTCGAAGATGTACATGCACCAGTACCATTAAGTCGAACTCGACCAAGATCAGTACCAGTTTATACATTTAAATCGCCTACAACTACGCCAAATCCATCTCGTTTAGAGCATAATCGACGTCATCATGAAAGGATATCTATTGAAGACAAACCACCGTTTATTAATTATGCTTCAGCATATATTAATCCATATCGTTCTTTAAGTCCTGTTCTTGTTTATCATCATTCTCGTCGCCATCATCGTTCCAGAAGTAGAAGTTTAAAAAGAAAACCTAAAAACCAAAAATTATCTAAAGATTTAATTGAAACAAATGAAGAAGATAATAAAATTGATGAAGACACTATTGCAATAACATTAACAAGAAATTATCATCCTGTTGAAATTAGTCCTTCGGACCCAAATGCCTTTGATACGAGATTTTGTTACAAACGTCAAATGATTATTGATAATCCATTTTATCGTGAGAAAGTTGACTCATGGAAAGTTACTTCTATTAATTATTTAATTACATTAATTAAAGATTTAACATTAGAAAAAAATATAATTGATCGTATATGGCTTATTTACTATTGGATTTCACAAAATATTCAATATGATATTGATTCAGATTTCAATAGTCGTCATCGATATCAAAAAGCAGAAGATATTTTTCGTACTGGTAAAAGTACATGTGAAGGTTTTGCTTCAATTTTTAAGATATTATGTGATAATCTTAATATTCCATGTGAAAAAGTTCGTGGTTATGCAAAAGATTTCTTTTTCAAAATTGATAAACCAACATTTTCTCAAATAAATCATACATGGAATGTTGTACAATTAAATAATAATCATTGGTACTTGATTGATTCAGCATGGGGTACTGGTTATATTGATAATCATCATAAATATAAAAAAGATCTTAAACCTCATTATTTTTTAACTCATCCTGAACATATGATTTACAATCATTTACCAGAAGAATCTCGATGGCAATTACTTTCAAAACCAATTACAATGGATGATTATATTCGTCTTCCACATATACATTCATATTATTTTATATATGGTCTTAGTATTATTTCTTCACGTTTTTCAAGTATTGTTCCTTATAATACAAGTCAATCATTTGCTGAAGTATTAATTCAAGCACCTGATGATATTCAATTAACATGTTCAATTAAAGATGATATTCGAAGTACGAGTCTTACTCAATATGATGTTAGTCGTCAAGTATGGCAATGTTTATTTTCACCACATAAAAGTGGTTTTCATACATTAATTATTTTTGCTAAACAAATATCATCAATAAATTTATTTAAAAATGTTATTGAATTAGGAGTAACAGTACATTCAAGTGATTTAATTAGAGGTAGAATATTACCAATGACGTTTGGAAAATTTACTGAATATAAATGTCAAATTTTATCTCCACTTGATGGTATACTTAAGCGTGGTACGAAAGCAACTATTCGTTGTCGTATTCCACATGCATCTTGTGCACGAATTTCACTTGATGGTATTTGGTTAGATGAAGTTCCATTAAAACATGAGATGTTCAGACAACAAATTAATGTACCAGAGCAAGAAGTTATTGTTTATGCTAAATTTCATAATAAAAAAATAAATAAAACTTACGATGGACTTATTCGATATATAGTAGAAAAATAAATTGTATTTATATTTATAAAAAATATACTAAATATTAAACGTTTACATAAAAAGTCTTTGCACAGCGTATATGTTCATTTTTTCGTCTACTTATAAGATACCGAAAAGAATCAAGTATATTAAGCTCAGATGAGAATTTCATTCTCTTTCTAAATACACATTCAGAGTTTTGTGAGATACGATCTAAAAGGAGAGTTTGAAGAACAACGAGAAATTTCCTATTTTATATAATTCAAATCGATATTTATTTTCGTAAATATATTCTTGTCATGTTCTACACATAACAAAAAAAAAAAACATATTTGTGATCGACATTTATTACAATATTTTATAAAAGTATAAAAACTAAAAGTTCACTGTACATGAATTATAATCAGTCAGTTATTCTTGACTATAAAAATTTGAAATAAAACTACTGTCTGTCAATGATGGTACTGATGTTTGTTGATAGTCATCAGTTTCCTCAATTGAATAAAGTCTTTGTTCATAACGATTTTCATTGGTATGTGGTCGTTCTATTAGTTCAATATCATTGGTGATGGATTTAATTCGAAATATACGTTTAAATAAAAGAATTGCTTGTTGTCGAAATATAGTTGAGGAATAATAATATAAATAAAAATTTAATGCTAATGATGCATAAGATAGTATTCGTAAAAGATCAAATGCAAATGCAACTCCATCATATGTTTTATTTGTATCATATGTCACTGAAATATATGGATAAATTCCAGCTAAAATTGTTATTGGAAGATTACAAACAATTAAAGAAATAGAACTAACTAAAAGTAATGTTACTAATGAACGATCAAGATTACGTTTACGAAGTTTTACACGTCGTTTATATTGATCATAAATTATAAATGCATTACATAATGTTACAATAATAAATGGCAGTAAAGCGTATGTTGTTAGATCAATCCATGGCCAAATATTTTTAAAAAATGATACATATTTAGGATAGTTTGGATTTGGATCACAATTATCAGCAGCATCATCTCTGAAATTTCCAATAAAAACTGTTGCTAAATGAAAATTTTTTAATATAAAAAC